TGTTACAACAACATACCCAGTATATTCCCAAGTATATTCCCAACTGGTTGGGGTCTAGGGGGTCAGTTGTACGCAGACCTTACCCTTGTAATTATACAAGGAGGCTTTTTCCGTAGCGACCCAATGTGCATTGCGTCGTTTGATATATTTTTATTCTAGAAACTTCACTAATAGAAGAAGTACTAGAATTTAATTGAGTCATTTTGATCTAGTCCATTATTAGCACTATGTTAGTCCATTATTAGCACTATGTCAGGAGAATTGTCAACAATGACTCTTCGAGCTCCATTTGAAATGGACAGTTTGGAGGATCTGTTAGTTCCTCATAAATCTAAAACGAGAATTGCAACATTAGCTCATTTTCTTTTATATCAGCTTCATTAAGAACAACTTATATTAGGTATGTAACTGAGTGATTGCTCTGATACACAACAATAAAGAATAGGTTTTAAGACTCGACTGTATATTTGAAATCAATTTCCTTTATTAAAGTAAGGTATTATTTGCTTATGCACATGCATTAGTTGTCTGCATAAGTAGTTGTATATGTTTCTATGATGAGCTTTTATTCTTTTTGGGGTTTCAGAAGTGGAAAATTTCATGCTTTAGACACGAGGAGTTCTCATCTGACACCCCAAATTCGGAGTTCATTGATGAACTCCTACAAGAGTCTGAGAAGACAGAAATTAGTAAACCAACCCTCGAAGAGAGTCATTGGAGTACAAACCTTAAAAAGGTAAGAATGCCTTCCCATGAATTATGTGATGCTTATTGAGGGAGATTGTCTGATATTTCTGTTTGATTATAAAATGATTGAACTTTGGCAATATGTATAACTTTTACTTCATTTGGTGGAAATTTTCTTTGAAAGGACAAATAATTTCTTTTATCTCGTGATCCAAAATTTCTACTTCTGATGCCATTTAAAGGAATGGTTGGAATGACCTTTGAATTATCATGAGAGTCAGAATATTTTTTATTTGTATAATTATATAGCAGTGATTTATGGCATTTGTTCTCTCTCTCTCTCTCTCTCTCTCTCTCTCTCTCTCTCTCTCTCTCTCTCATCTCCCTAGGTAGCAGATGCACTGTTCAGAGCAATTGGGAAGCCGTGGACTGTACCATGGACTGCCGAGACCATCCTACAGGTATGGATGCTTCTTCTTTCTTCTGCAACAGCAAAAATTCATTTCTTATAATGAAAATCAGCTGCATACCCTCCTGGGTTATGCTATCCACAACGAAAATACATCATAAAATCTTCACCTTCAAATTGCAATGACATCAGGTAACACTCCTTTGGGTCATCTCGTTCTGGTTCGTTGGCACATGGATGATCCCATTCGGGGCCTACATCGCCGGCTTCAGCAAGAGATCCCTCACATACAGAGGCCAGGCTCTGTTCAGCCTCATAACGGATGTGACCCAAGGCCTAGCCGGAATATTGATCCTCCACCGTTGTCTGTCACGATTCCGGCCACTGCCGCCCGATTGGTTTAGGTTCAGCCTGAAAGGGAACTGGCCACTTGACGTTCTAATCGGATGCTTCCTATTCCCATTGGTCAACCGCCTCTCGCAATTCAACTTGGATATATTGCCCATTTTGCCCTCGACACCCGTAGCCCTCTCTAGTGTGGAGCAGTCAATTATGGCTCGCGATCCGGTTGCCATGGGTCTTTATGCTTTGGTGCTCGTTGTTTGTGCTCCTTTGTGGGAGGAGATCGTGTTCAGGGGCTTTCTTTTGCCTTCCTTGACCAAGTGCATGCCCGTGTGGTGCTCGGTCTTGGTGAGTGCATTCGCATTTGCCCTGGCCCATTTCAATGTGCAGAGGATGTTGCCGTTGGTTTTTCTAGGGGTTGTTATGGGCGTCATTTACGCGCGGTCGAGGAATCTGTTGCCCTCGATGCTGCTGCATAGCCTGTGGAATGGTTTTGTATTTTTGGATTTGATGAAGTGAAATAATGTGTACTGATTTTTCTTGCCCTTGCCTTGGGAAGTCATGAGGACGAGCCAGAGATTGGATTGCGATTCAGTTTGATCTTCTGCGTGACGAAAAAGTAAAAGGATCAGGTTGGTGGGAACCAAGAGTAATATACGGACTGAACGACTTGTAATATTTTATCGAGCCAAACCTTTTGCATAGGTTGTACATTTGTTGGGGCTTGGCTTAAAATGGTCCCTACTGGATAAGGTTAGTGATTGCCCTTTGTTATCTCCCTGTGTTATGTAAAGATTTTTTAGACTAGAAACAGAAATTTTAGAAATAATAGTGAATGTATTTCAGAGCAAGTTAAATCATAAACGTGGATCCAAGAATGCTTTGCATGTCCCTTTATCCATTTTCCAATTTTAATTCCACTTTGTATTTGCTTGTGGACCTTGTATGTATGTTGCATTAGTGACCTTACTATTTTCTGTTTATGAGTGGATTTATAGTGTGTTGGTGCATTCTTGTGAAAATATGTTCACATATTAGTATTGCAAATGATAAGCTATCCTTGTGATTAAACTCGAAAGCACCGACACATAGGTACTTTGCTTCTGCATTGTTTGTTACAGTGATAAGATGTACTTTGCCATCCATCAACCCCTTATGCTTCTGCATTGATTGTTATAGTGATAAGATGTACTTTGTCGTCCATCAAATGGGTGGAGGTTATGATTGTTAATAAATCGAACGTTCGTAATAAAAGTTTGTTCGTGTTGAAGAGCTCTTCGTTGTTAATCAGGCCGAGCTCGAACACAAAATTAGGTTGGTTTAATATCCGAACAAACACAGCTATGTTCGTGAATATTGATTTATTTATTTTTATATTTATGTGTGTATATTTTGCGTAAAAAACTAAAAATCGTTTTGTTTATTATTATTATTGTTTTTATTTTCGAGCTCGAACGAGCCGATCTCGATTTAATCAATTTTTTTTTTTTTGAAAAAAATTGTTTACTGAATTATTCGAAAATGAATGATTGCAAGTTTTGACTAACAATAAAACAAAAACAACTAGCTCAAACACTTTTTTTCAAACAATAAACGAACAAATGCAAACATTTTTTGAATATAATCAAACGCGAGCTCAAAAGTTCAAGCTACACTACTATTTGAGAGGTTAAGTCCTTAATATCTAATTCCAAATTTGTGCATCTACACTACAACATTACGAAGGGAAATGATGTGCCACATTAAAGTCCTCAAAGTTTATTATTTGATGGGCATCAAATAAGCTCTCAAAATTAAACTCCATTATTTAATTGGATTTTTAGTGACAAACAAATAAAATAATCACAATAAGCTCTCAATTTAATTTTCTCAAACAAAAGTAATAACTTTTCCACTTTTACACCCTCTTTCTCTCTTATCACTACATTTCTTATCAACTTTGGCTCTTATTGGGCCTGGTCGACAACAAAGAGCCCAAAACCAAACCTCAGCCAGCCCAAACACCCCTCATCACCAACGCTCCACCTTCCATTTTCATCTCCAGACCCTCAACCCCTCGCTCGCGCGCACACGGTGAACCACCCCAATGCTGATCCGCCGAGCAGCATCACTGACCACCACTGCCGTCAATCTTCATATCCGGCGCTTCTCCACCGCGTCTCTCCTCCAGGAGGCGGATAATCCCCTCCAGTTCACCTACTTGGATGGACTGCCCAGGCCCGACCCTAAACACGACGAAACCATCCACGCGATCCCACGCGCAGTCTCCGGCAAGAGCATCGCCACCAAGGAGAGGAAAGTCGGCCGTGTACCCAGTATTGTCTTCGAGGCGAAAGATGGCCAGCACGGCGGCAACAAGCGCCTCATTTCGGTACAGAGGAGTCGGATAAAGAAGCTTGTGGATCACTTGGGCCAGTCCTTCTTTCTCTCCAGGACATTTGATCTGGAGGTCCGACCCGAATTTGGATCCATTTCGGGTCTTGCCCCGGAAGGTATGTGCTTCGCTGCCATTTTTCACTGTTCCTTGGTAGAAATTAAGCCTATGTTTGGTTCACGGGAGGGGAGGGGAGGGAAAGGGAGGGAAAATATTTTACCTTGTTTGGATGGATTTTGTAGAAAGGGAGGTGAAGGAAAATGATTAACCTTGTTTGGTTAGAAGATGGAGAGGAGGGAAAATAATGTTAGAATGACAAATATATCCTTAATGATGTAAGAAAAAAAAAATAATAATTCACAATAAGGTCAAAAGAGTAATTTGATGTTAAAAATTTTCCCTCCCCTCCAAATTCCCCCACTTTTGGAGGGGTGTGTATTTTCCCTCCTCCAAGGGATTTGAAGGGAAAATCTTAATCCCTCCCCTTACTTAAAATCGAACCAAACAAGGGAAAACTAAAAATTTCCCTCCCCTCCCTTCCCCTCCCCTCCGTTTCCTCCGAACCAAACAAAGCCTAAAATGCTAGGTTTCGTGAGAGGAAGATATCGTCTTTCTATATCAAATTGGAAGAAATATTGATTCAAGTCAATGTTTTTGAATGCTACCTTTACAATTTCAATCTGTGTTAGTATATATTTGTATGGTCACGTTGGCATGAAATGGCTACAGGATTTGGAAAAAAAATGCTGGAAGCTGTGGCCTTGAATTGGTGAATCATGAATGTAATCGGAAGACATGTGAATCGACTTATATCGATAAATCTGAAGGTGCATATAATGGTAAAGAAACTGAAAATGTTGTGCTTTTCACTTCCATTCAGTTTGGTATACGCATACTTGCAGAATGAATGCATGTTTATGTTTTACAGATGCATCTAGAATCTAGTAAGAGTTTATCTAATCTTCTTGCACACGCATGCGAGCATGCACAGAGGACTCTGTCGGTCAATATTATGTGCGCTTGTACATTCATTTGACTTTGTTACGGTGTTCATTTACAAGTTATAAAGAAAGATAAAGTAGGACATGCACGTAAGCATAAGAATCTTCTCTGGAGCATACAATACAAACTCGAACCCATATGTATGGCAGTTATGATACTTTAAACACTGCATATTTTAATTGATGGTCTCGGTTCAAGCATACCATATGTTTGTAACATGTTAGAAATTTTCTCTTGTTTAGGAGCATATACTGATTTAATATTTTCTTGATACATGGCCAACTTCATCTTCACGCAGGCACTGATGCAGTGCTTAATGTCACGTTCATCCGAGCCCCATCTGATGTTTGGTTGAAGGTCGATGTGCCTCTGGTTTACAGAGGAGATGATGTCTCCCCCGGACTCAAGAAAGGTAATGCAGAAAATTTGAAAATACAGTTTTGTTACTTCCTGCTTTTATGAACCTCATCTTGTTTTAAGATATAATTTCATCTCATTTGGTAAATTATGTCTATCATAGTCGAGTATGATACCTAAATAAGAACATCAGCTGAACTTACATAAATAGTTTCCTATTTGTTTGAGATCTTGTATTTTATGGCCAGGTGAAGCTCCTCCTGCAGTAACTTTTTAGGCAGTGGATACAAAATTTTGTATATTTAGTTAATATCTTATCTCATTGGAACTGGAAATGAAACAAACTTTTAACAATAAGTACTATTCATTTCATCTCTCTTTTTTTGTTTTTTTTCAATCCCACTAACTCAATTAAAAAATAGTAAGTAATTAGTATCATAGTTTTTCAGCAAAATATACTATTCTTTCACTTACATCTAACTGAGAATCTTATCGATGAGTGTTTTATTATTTTCGTATCATAACAACTTTAGTCATTACATTGTTATCTTATATCCAAATCCAACAATCTCGAATCTATCTCACTTTTTTTTCCCTGTAAAAACAACTTTTTATACTTTTCCATCTCTATTTTCAAAGGAGACAAATATTTTTGAAAACTTCTAATATCCAATCACATCACTTTGTTACTGTGTCGTGCAAAGATTTACCAGCTAAGAAAGTTGATCATTTTATTAACTATCTTGGACATGTCAGTGTATATTATGAACATATATTATAGAGTTATTAGGCCAAAATAATTGTACCTGCATTAAGGGATGTTATTCTCTTACTATCACAATTTTGTATATCTATAGGAGGCCTTTGTATCACTTTTATAATCATGAAATATATAGAATTCTCCAGATTACAAAAAGAATGGTGATGTTGGATTAGAACTCTTGTGCTGTACAGATAACAGGAATAGGGATGCAGTTTTTCAGATTTGTTTCAAGGGCCCGACTGAGAATCTGAGTGTGCATCCTTTTTCTCGTTTAACTTTCCTTTTCTTTTTGTCGTTTGGTCCTTGTACAGGGTCGTCTTTGAACATAATCAAGAGAACCGTTAAATGTTCTCTGCCAAGCGGATATCATCCCACCCTACATTGATGTGGATTTAAGCGAGCTTGATGTGGGCGAGAAGATTGTTGCTGGCTATTTAAACGTTCATCCAGCTCTTAAGCTACTAAGACCAAAAGATGAGGTTGTGGTCAAAATCATGGGTGCTAGGGTTTCAGACCAGAAGAAATCCAAGTAACATGTGGTTATTTCTTCCAAATCGATTCTGTGGGTCGTAACAAAACCGTTGTTTTGTGTGGAGCAGCCTTTGGGTGACCAAAATCTTCATAGGGTAACCATTTAGAGAAGTTTGTTTGTAGTTTAGTGGGGTTCTGTGGCAAAAAACTGTAACACATTTTTTTTGGGCAAGAAGTGTTTTCTCGTACTCCTTTGCATAAATGCATGGTGGTGTTGTTTAATGAAAGGGCCTTCATGTTTCATGTGTCATGTATGATGTATCCAAACTTCAGGGACTTTTTGTGGGTGATTTTTCTGATATTTTACATGTGGATGTGACTTGCACAAACTTATTATTATTTATATTGTGTTTATTCAGAATATTGAAATAGTGAAGTTTTATACGTTTATGATTTTGAGTGCCATTTTGAGACTTTTTGGAATTTGAGATTTTTTAAGAATTTTCAGATTTTGGAAGAATTATATGAAATTTTATATTTGGGGTGAGATTTTTTTTTTCATAAAAAAGTAAACTAAATTTATATAGTTTTCTCATTAATTTTAAAATTTAAGAATAAAATTTTTTAACAAGCACCCGTGTAATACATGGGTGTTGTACTAATTTTTTTATTATTTTAAAATTTCAGCAAATTTGAAAAGATCTTAACATAGTATAGTTTATTATTTTGAAATTTCAACAAATTTGGAAAGATGTAGTCTGGCTTCAAAAGTCAAATACTAATGATTTTGTAAGATTTTTAAAATTTAAAATGAATAAAGTACTTCATAATTTTTAAAATATATATATAAAAAAAAATAAAATAAATCTCAACCAAATACACCTTTAAGCTTCGTGCCTACATTTTGTTTTGCTTTAAATTTTCCGCACCCAATAATAGAGGCGTTAAATAACAGTGGAAATGCTTAGGGCGTGATTGTATATGAATTGTAAGATATAATCCATGTAGTTTCTTTGTTACTGCACTGCAACTTCCTTGTAGCTGCAGAGTACTTTTATGACAACCATTTTAGGCTGACTTTTCAGCTTAAGTAATTTCTAGGAAAGCCACTAGGTATTGTTTTTAATTCTTATAAATAAGGATGCAATTTTTATTTGTAAAAAAATATTGAAAAATTGAATACTCAATACATTGAGTTGTTCACAATCTTCTTCTTCCATCCCAAAATTGTCCGTTTGTGCCAGAAGCATTTTTGCTTACCGGAACAGTGCAACCCACAAACAGAGCAGTCAAGCTGTGAACGAGCAGGGACTAACATGAATTTGATTGGTTTTTTTTTTTATTGTTTTGTTTACTTATAGTTGATTTTGAAAAAAATATGGTATGATTAATTGTTTGGGTGAATTTAAGTTTAAAATAAAATATTATTAAAATAAAATAATTAAAATTGATTTGATGTAAAGTTAGGAGAAAAAATATTGGAAGTGACGGTTAGTTAAAATGATGTGAGTTGATGAATAGTGAATTAAAGTTGATCTTATATGTAAGAATGATTGGTTGATATAATTTAATTATATTGATAATATCAAGGATAGTATAGTTGAGTTAAATTTGAGTTTTGATTGATTTTTTGCAAGTCAAGTTTATTATTCACATTAATTAGAGAATTTTATTTCTAAACATCCAAATAAGAGGAAAAAAAAGTTCAAGATTACCACTTGTGAATTAAAAAAAAAAAGTAAATGTAATTGATTTATAAGAAAATCAAATTTCTAGATGTCCATAATACAACCCAAACAAAAAAAAAAAGAAAAAAACTTTTTATGAGCAAATGTTCTGTAACAAATATGTGAACTGGAAAGTCTCTTTACTTTAATCTTTGGCAATTACTTACAGGATTGGTCGACCATTCACATGTTGCCTGAAATGGTTAAATTGATGACTGCAATTATCACTTTATTGCAAGCAATAAACTGCATTTTATAATCAAAAAGCTAAAACCCTTTGATATAATTTGCACTCTTCTCTAAAACAATTCTCCCTATCTTAATTTAGCTTCAATCCGACAATATCATGAAATTTGTAAGAAATGGGCGAAAACGGGGATTACCAAGACAAGGGAAGCCTAAATTAAACTTAAGTAAGGTTCCATTCTAAAAGTAATTGGTGGAAGGAGAGGAATAGCCCGCTAATCTTATAGGTTAGGCCTATTTTCTCTGTATGAACGATGTGATACAACTACAGCTGCAAATGAATCGAGCGACTCGCAAGCCGCTCGCGAGCGCTCGAGTCAAAGCTCAACTCGAGCTCGAGCTGCTCGAGCACGAACTCGAGTCGAGCTCGAGCCTATATTTTGCCTTGTCGAGCGGCTCGAGATACACGTTAAATTACTAAAATACCCCTTAGTATATATATTAACATAGGTGCTTAATGTAGTTTTACCTTTCCACTTAAAAATTTTCGAGCCGAGCTCGATTGATTTCGAGTCTCGAGCTATTGTAATTTTTTATCGAGTCGAGCAGCTAAAAAAAAAAAAAAAAAACTCAATCCTGCTCGATAAGACTAATGCTCGATTCGACTCAACTCGTTTGCAGCCCTAAATACAACTCATAAGTGATATTCTAACAAAAAAACATTGTATTGCTAAAAACTTTTCCTTCTCATTTATAACAATTTCTCCACTAGAAGTTAACATATCAAAAATACCACGCCAAAGTTCAACTTATATCCTACATTATCGTAGGAGTGTTGAGTTGCTAAAACTTTCCCTAATCGTTTATAACAATTTGTGCACTAAAAGTTAAGATAAAATACCCACGGAAACGAGTTTGGACCACCTATGATTTCATCCCTCCTAAGTTAACCTTATTCCTAAAACTAAATGTGGACTATCAAACCATTATGGCACATTTAAAGTAAAAAAAAAAAAAA